ACCATCACGTCAGGGGCATTTCAGTCTTTTGCATGTTATATATGAATTAAGATTGTTATGCAACTCTTGCAAGCATATATACAAGTCCTTTAAGCATTTAAAAGAAATAGATAAAGACACTAAGTGGTCGTTTACCTAAACACTTACCCGGTAAGTACTTATCGGTAAAATTCAACATTATCGCTTACTTACTGGGTAAGATTTCACTAAAACGCATGGTATGCAATAATTTATCCCGGTAAGCGCTAACCATGGTAAGAGCCGCCATCCTCACTTACCGGGTAATACTCTCGATTCTTGTCTTCGCTATTACCGGATAAGATTCTTAGTTCTTGTTGTATTCATCCGATAAAGTAAAAAGACTTGGTAAATGCTTACTCGGATAAACGTTTGGTAAACGGCACCTAACATAAACATCTTGATCTTCACCATTTTACCCATCAACTCAAAACATAAACCAACACAAATCCGTTGAAATCAAATGTACTCTAAATTCCCTAACAAGATCTATCTCAGAAACCAAGAACATCAAGAGTATTCATCTGTTAATGTTTAGAAGAACAACGAATAACATTTAAAATTTTAACCAGAAAAATGTAATCAAGCATTTCAAACATCAAAACAAATGAAGAACATTCAAATGCATCGTCCTTCAAAAGCCCCTCACATGAGAGGCACGTGACCCCATTTAACGGTGTCCTCAAATGGCCGTTAACCTCATGTACCTAAACCAACATAAAATGGAAATCACAAGGGCTAGGATGTAATTAGTATAATTAACGGGACTAGAGTCAAAATTTTCGTAAACCATAGGGACAAAAGTTGTAATTCACTCTAGATGAATTCAAATTCTATTTGTTTCAACCGTAGATTTAAAATTCCCAATCAGCGCCGTCCAAAATTAAAGAACAAGTCAACTCGGTTTGACCGTTACACTTGGTTTTATACGGCAAACAGCCTCACATGCAACCTTCCTTTTTTCGCGAATTTTCAACGTCTTTTCCATTCATCACGTTGGTTGACGCCTTATTTGTCATTTTACAAATTTCATTAAATAAAATAAAACAAAATATACAACATACTTTTGTAAATGGAAAATTGCATCAAAATGGAACCACCTTTCACATGATTTCTATTTTGGGGAACGAATTTTCAAAATCGTCATTTTGGGAAACCAACTTTCACCTGATTCCTATTTTGGGGAACCAACTTTCAAAATCGTCATTTTGAGGAACCAACTTGCACCTAATTCCTATTTTGGGGAGCCAACTTGCAAAATAATTATAGAAAAATGGAAAAATTACACCAAAATGGAATCAATTTTCACTTGATTCCTATTTTGGGGAACCAACTTTTAAAATCGTCATTTAGGGGTCTCTATCGAATTTTTTGTTTATTTAAGGGTCTGATTGATCTGTTGAACAGGTAACAGATAATTTAAGAGTCTCTATCAAACTTTTGGTTGGATTTGCCAAATTTGATTTAAACTTTAATATTGACACAGATTGGTTAGATATAAAAATCTTGAATGTGATATTTAATATTTATTTTTTATTGCATCAATTAAATTTTTTCTATTAAATTGATTTTTTTATTGCATTAATAAAAACAATTTTTATCGTGGTAATTTGGATTTTTTTCAAAAAATCTTCAATTTGATATCTGAATTTAAAAAAAGAAGATTTGAAATGAAAAATAGATTTTATTGCATTAATTTTTGAAAAGAAATGAATTTTAGTTATTTTTCTATAATTATTTTGTAAGTTGGTTTCCCAAAATAGGAATCAGATGCAAGTTGGTTCCCCAAAATAACGATTTTTAAAGTTGGTTCCCCAAAATAGGAATCAGGTCCAAGTTGGTTCCCTAAAATGATGATTTTGAAAGTTGGTTCCCCAAAATAGGAATCAGGTGAAAGTTGATTCCCCAAAATAAAAATCAAGTGAAAGTTGATTCCCCAAAATAACGATTTTGAAAGTTGGTTCCCCAAAATAGGAATCAGGTGAAAGTTGGTTCCATTTTGGTGCAATTTTCCCTTTTGTAAACTTTGTAATTTTATACTTCTAGTTTTTCTTATTACAATAATATAGTTTTTAAATTATTTTTTATTAAGATATCGTATTTTAAAAAATTTACATATTAAACATTGGATAAGCTTTTGATTTAAATTTATCTATTATATCAAGTTTTTATGTCATTTTTCTGTCAACATAGGTTATCCACATATATTGTAACTGATGTGGTATTTCTTATTATTATATTGTAATTTCAAAATTATTTTATTATAATATTATCAGTTTTTATTACAACATTATACTTTTAATTAAAATATTTTATTATTTAGACGTTTTACATATTATTTAATGAATATATTAAATAAATTAGAATTTTTTTAATTGTTTGTTAATATATAAATATTAATAAAACTAGTAGAATATAATTTGTTTCTCTAACATTTTTAAAAGATATGTATTTTTTGAAAAAAGAGAAATAAAAATTGTTATTTACCAAAAAAAAAATATCTTTTAAACAATATATCATACTTGTTTAATTATATTTTTTGATTTATTCATAAATATAATTATATTTAAAAAATTATACATCACAATTTATCTTGCTAACATCTAAAAAAAACTTTAAAAGATTGTATTTTTTTAACAAACTAAAATAAGAAATGTTACATTCGTTTACAAACAAAATAGTTATCTCGAAAATAATATATCATATTTATTTAAGAAATATTTTACTTTATAATATTTAATTTGCATGCAATTTAACAAGAAAAAGTAAAAAACAGCACTGGACGTTCCCCAAACGGGTACTGTCGGGTCGGGTGAATTCAATAATAGACGCTTGTTGGCATTCCAGTCTTCCTTCGCCTTTCATGGCCACATATCTTTCCGGCTAAAGGCGTGAATGTAAATAAAAAACATCCCCTGGATAAGCTTCGCGCCCAACAAATAAATATTTTTTAAATCTTAGCAATGAAAAATGAAAATCATTAAAAATAATTTGAAATAAAATTCATTTATTTTTTTTATTTTAGACATTTCATCAAAATGATGTGTCACCCACATTACTTTATTGAAGCGAAAGCAAAAAAAAAAAAGTAAAAGGGTTAACCGACTTAAAATGTAACAGTTTTTCTATTGTTATAGTGAGTACATTTTTCAAATGACGATATCTTAATAAAAAATAACTTAAAAATATATTGTTGTGATAAGTAGAAATAAAAGTAAAATTCTATAATAAATTTTTTTATAAAAGTAGATTGTCGTTTTATATATTTAACTCAATAAAGTATTACTAATTTATGATATCGTATTTTTAGTTGTTAAATTTATAATATTTAAATATTTTTATAAATCAAAATTAATATTTTGTGATATACTACAACAAGTGTTGAATGGTAAACTAGAATACATAAATATTTGAAAATTTTAATTATGTTTTATAAGTTTATGGAAATATTTTTTATATCATCTTCAACTGATTCTTTATAATTTTTTTAAAATACAGAATCAAAATTTAAAATGTTTGAAAAAAATTAAATTTAACTTCTACAAATTTTCTATTTTATAAATTTCAATATTTATTATATTATTAAAATATTATATAAAATTTTCATTTCAATACATTTTAAAAAAATTTATATAAAATAATAATAATTCAATCTTATTGATGGAAATGAATAAAAAATAATTTTTTATATAATATTTAAGTTTTAGAGAATTATATGTATTCGAAGGTTTCTCTAATTTTACTTATTTTTAAAAAAACAATATAAAAAGCCTGTTATTGAATCAAAAATAAATAATAAAAGCTCTATTTTAAAGAACTAGAAGGGTACTCGTGCAATGCAACGAGATACATCTTAATCTTAATGTTTCGTTTTATATTTTGGTGCATGCGATTTTATATGGTTTTACGAAAACGGAAATGTTTTTGTTTTTGAATGAAATATAAATTTGAAGATAGTATAAAATTTTGAAAAAAATAAGCAATATTAGTATCAAATTAACTATTTAAAAGTTTTTATTTTTTGTATAATTTCTTTAATTCAATTTTTTATTATAATTTAATTAAATTTAAAAAGGAACTAATTTATTTTTGGTTTTATAAAATATTTTTTTAAGATAATAATTAACTAACCTGTTTGAACTCGATGATTATCTTAATTATATTTTAGATTTTTTATCTTTAAAATGATGTTTATCATGTATTTGATTATGTTTATCCGGCAGTTAGTTACACGAATTCAAAAATGAAGCTTTAGTAAGATGTATTCATAATATCTTACTTGTAATCTTGAATTTTAAGTAATATGGATTAATAAACAGTACTTTATGCATAAAAAATTGTTTTTAAGAGTTTTAGTCAAATGCTTTATAATATAGTATAGATATGTTAGAGATCTTATGAAATATTTGTTTCATTTATTATCGAGTAAATGTCTTTTTCCTTACTTACTAGATAACTCCCGGTCCTTGTTATGCCACTTACCGGATAAAAGTTTTTGTGTTGATCATGCTCAATTGGTAAAGTAATTGATATTGATAAATCGCTTATTTGTTAAACTCTTAGGGGCGTTTACTAAACACTTACTTGACAAGTGCTTAATGCATAAATTTCCTCATCGAGTGAATATGAGAAGGGCCATGAGTTTTACCTGGTAAATGAGGATGAAGACTCTTACCCAGTAAATTGTTACATTCGATATGTTTTGATATACTAAAATCTTACGCATCAAAATAAATTATAGTGTTAACTCCTATTGATAAGCGTTTATCGGATAAGCATTTAGGTAAACTACCACACAGCTAGAATGTGATAATTCTGGATTATGTAATTAAATTAAGAAGTAGCAACGAGAGGAGAATCCACGAGTCCTTTTTTTGTTTGGTAGTCTGTAGCGTCCAATTTTGAATTAATCACACTTCCATTCCCTCCTTTCACACACTCCCTCATATAAACACCTCTCTTTCTTCACATTTTTCACCCATTTGCAGAAACAAGAATTTCTATGGAGGCGATTTCAAGGTCCGGGAGGACCACGACGGAGCTACATCACATGTCTAAGAAGTGGAAGGATCCTAGAACTGCAGAACGCAGCCCTGAACACACCAAAGTATGGACAGAACCTCCTTCCAACAACAATAAACCACGGAGAGTCCCCGTCGTTTACTATCTCACAAGGAACGGTAACCTCGAACATCCTCATTTCATCGAGGTTCCTCTCTCCTCTTCCTCCGACGGCCTTTATCTCCGAGGTGAGTGTAAAAATTGATAGCTGTTTGTTATTATGTTGAATTCTTCAGTAGTTAACTTTGAGGAGGATGAGTTGTTTTCGTCTGATGTGTTCTTATAAGTTTGATGGAAATCTTCTGGAATTATTGATGTAATGAATCGCCTCAATTTTCTCTGTGGAGAAGGAAAGACTGCATTAAATGGTTGATTTGGAGGAAAATAAGTCGTTTTTTATCTGATAAATGTCTTAATTTGGTGAAATATTCTGCAAATATCTTGTAGATGTAATCGATCGCCTCAATTCTCTACGAGGAAAAGGAATGGCAGCATTGTACTCGTGGTCTTCCAAAAGGTTAGTGCGTCGATCTGCATTAGACGCCGAGAATGATCTTCACTCGTAATTTTCTGGCTACCTGTGTGTAATTACTGTTTCTGAGGGCTAATTGATACAATTTGCGTGATATAGGAGTTATAAGAATGGATTTGTATGGCACGATTTGGCAGAGAATGATTACATTTATCCGGCGCATGGCCAAGAGTACGTTCTGAAAGGATCAGAGCTCGTTGTTGCTGGAGGATCCGTATTGACCTCCAAATCTGAGGCACAAATATCGAAGAATTCTTTGTCGCCGGACTCTGAAAAATCCGGCGACGATGATTTTCCGGTTGTTAGGCGTAGGCGGAATCAGTCATGGAGCGCAATCGATCTTCACGAATATAAAGTCTACACAGGAGACTCCTCCGGCGGTAAAGTCGCAGCCGACGCCTCCACTCAAACTGACGACAAACGCCGTCGCCGGAGAACAATGATCAGAGAAGAAGAAGAAATCAAAGAAGAAGAGGAAACAAAAGTAACGTTTCACGAAAACGAGAGCTCAGAGCTGAGCAGAGAAGAGATTTCACCACCGCCGTCCGATTCAAGCCCCGAAACCCTAGAGTCACTGATGAAAGCCGATGGTAAGCTAATCCTACGGCCAGAAACAGAAGATCACAACCGAAACGTGAATGGAACAAGCAACAACAACAAGATTAAAGCATCATCGGTGCTGATGCAGCTGATCTCGTGCGGCTCGATATCGTTCCGTGATTGTGGGCCGGGAGCATACGGAAAAGACAACCCGGGTTTTTCGTTGATTTCACATTACAAGTCAAGGATGCTGCCACGTGGGGTGGGGGTAAGGAACAACGCAGAGGACGCGACGGTGGAGGACGCTGTCGTTTTGAGGAAAAACCGAAGAATTAAAAAACATACAGTGACAGAGGATAAAGAATATTTCAGTGGGAGTTTAATAGAGACAAAAAAGGAGGAATTTCCAGCTCTAAAGCGATCTAATTCCTACACTGGAAACCGGTAAATTTCGAAATTTCACCCCAGTAAAAATGGAATTTATTACCTTTCCTTATATGAACTAATCTGGACATCGGAATATGCTTAGAGACTATCCATTCAAACTAGATTCAAATATATGTGAAATATATTTAATGTAAAATGATTCAGAGTAGATAAAAGCTTTTTTTAAGCATTATTCACATCTTTTTTTTATTAACCTGGATATCCAACCCGTTATGCGAGCCGATTAATCCCAGAACGACCACCTGCTTTGCAGATAGTCCGGAATCAATGCATTTGAATCTCCGTGGCAAGATTTTTATTTCTCCTTGGATTTGAACCTGAGACCTCCAGGTACTTCTGACCTTTGGAGTCAAGCTCAAACCAATCAGCCATCACCCTTGTGTTTCACATGTTATTTTTACATTATCATGTATTTTCCTTTCCTACAATACCCAAAAACCCCTTGCAATGAGAGCATCTTGAACAGAATTTGCTTCCAATTGACAGCTAAAACTTTGTTAGAAATTACCCCTTTACATGTTGGAGGATTAGGCGGCAGTTAAAAGAGCTGTTTGGGCCTCCGCTTTCATTTTCATTCATTTTTCTCATCAATTATTAAAATAAAAGTTCAAAACCTCGTATTTTTTTCTTACGGTGAAATTTTAATGAAATAATGTCGTGTGGCAATGTGGGTTTTTTCAAACTCATCATTTTCTTTTAGCGGATAAGAGCATCTCCGTCAGATTCTCTAGATAAAGAATTAAATAAAAATCTTTAAAAAATTAAGGGGCCGTTTACCAAATGCTTATCCGGGTAAGCGCTTACCAAATCACATTACCTCACCGGATGAATATGGTAAGGACTAAAAATCTTACCCGATAAGAGCGAGACATGGACCAAGAGTCTTACCCCAGTAAGTGAGAGCGACGACTCTTACCACAGTAAGCGTTTACCGGGTAAGTTGTTATATGCGATGTCATTTTGATGGACTAAAATCTTGCTAGGTAAGTAAACAGTAGTGTTAAATTTTACCGGCAAACGTTTACCGAATAAATATTTGGTAAACAGCTCCTAAATTTATCCACAAAAGCTTCTTTATTTTAAAAATTATAATATTTTTTTATATTATTAAATAATTTAATATTATGGATTGGTGTTAAAAAGGTATAAGTTTGGATCCGTATATTTTGTCGTAATGTAGGTTTAAAAGTGAAAAATGTTTTTGTAGCGGGGTCCAGTCGAACAGCGATCCATAGAGTATCAGCTATGACCTTTGCCCTTGGTTTTGTATTGGGGATCAAAAGATGAAGGGTGGTTTGTCAATAAAATAAAAAGACACCCCTATCTTCTGTATACTCATTTGTATTTTTTTTCCTTTTTTGTCTTTTTCTCTTTTACTTATTTATATTATATTTTAATTAATATAACTTACTAATAAATATTTTTTTATATTGACTATATTATATGAATTATTAATGAATATTTTCATATTATGTGATATGAAGATGTAATAATTTCAAAACAATTAGCATCCTCAATTAAGTGAAAATAAAGATTAAAATCTTGATGTTTGGACGTCAATCCACATCTATAAACTGTCAAACAAACTAAGAGAAATTAAATTAAGAAGCAATCATAAATTATAAATTAATTAATAAAGAAAATGTTTGATTTAAGATAAAACTATAGACCTGAAGAAGGGTTTTGAGGACATAAATGAAAATGAAATAGAAGAAGATAAAGAGTACTAGTATTGGAGATAGTGTGTGTGTGTATATATATATATATATATATATATATATATATATGGTATATTTTAAATACAATCATGTTCGTTTGTACAACCAATGCAACCCAATCAATTGAGATATTTATGAAAATGATGAGAGTTCATTTATTATGATTTGAATATTTACGAAAGATGATTATAGTTTATTAATTATGATCAATACTTTATATTATGAAATAATTAAAACTTTGATAAAATCACATATTCATCAAATTAAATGAATGTTTGTATTGGTTGTATAAATATAAAGGATTACATAATAAGTCTCTCTCTCTCTCACACACACACACATACACACACACACACATATATATATATATATATAAGAATTATAATAATATATAAAATGATATATAAATAAATATAAGAACGTATAATATATATAAGTAACATGCAAATAATATATAATAAATCAATATAATAATAATAATAATACAACAATAGTAACATATAAAATTAGAAGTATAAAAAAAATAAAATAACACAAAAATAATAAAACAGTATATAATTTTCTAATACAAATATATAAAATAAAACAAAAGATTTGAAAAATAATTTTATTCAATTAAAAAATAAACTACACGATTGGTTACAATTTGTTAGATTTTAATGATTTGTAAAATAACCTTGGTTTATATACATATAGATATTAATAATTATATCTAATGTGGATATAAAAGTCAAAAAATTATATAAAAGAAACTTATAAAATGTGATTTCACACAAATTTAATATAAGAAATTAAGAACCAAAATTCTTATATAGAATCTTTAAAATTATAAGTATTTCATAAAAACTCTTTACAAGAGTAGATTAGGCTTCATTGATTGGTTATATACGTTAATTAACCTGGATATCCAACCCAATATGTGAGCCGACTAATCCCAGGACGACCACCTGCTTTGTAGATAGCCCGGAGTCATCGCATTTGAACCTCCATGGCTACAAGGGGATTTTTATTTCTTCTTTGATTTGAACTTGGGACCTACATATACTTTTGACCTTTAGAGTCAAGCTCAAACCAATTAGACACCATCTTTGTGGTTAGTTTTCTCTTTAAAAAGTGGTGATTCTTTTCCTATTTCTTGCAAAAACTGTAACCATCTTTGCTTTTGTTTAATATATTAATTGTTGTTGGTCTGAACCATCTGATTTGTAAATAGTACATTTAGCATCTGATCAAACACTTAGAAAAAATTCATCCATCAGATATAACTCCAAAAGTTTAACATCTGAACCTTAAGCTTAAGGTTTTCACATTGAGATGGTTTGTGAATTAGAGTTAGGGACCGTTTACCAAACACTTACCCGGTAAGTGATTATCAGTAAAATTTAACATTATTATTTACTTATCGGGTAAGATTTTAGTCTGGGTAAGACTTTTGGTCCTTGTTTTGCTCTTATCGGGTAGGATTTTTGGTTCTTACCATATTTATCCTGTAAAGTAACGTGACTTGATAAACACTTACCCGGATAAATGTTTGATAAACGGCCCTTAGAGTTTGAATAAGCATGATAGGAGTTTATATAAAAATGTTTGTATATTTATCCATGGTTACACACGTGTAGGTGGGAAAAGCATGTGAAGTAGTCAATGCCCATACCTAACTTCAAGAAGCTGCCTGCTCCATTGTCCCAACACAAACAAACTCTCCTCTAAAAGTTGGACACACCTTTACCCTCCTTTCCCATTAACACAAGCAAATAAATACACACACATATATTTACACCCCTTTCCCATGAAATATATATATATATATATATATATATATATATACACACACACACGAAAGATCATGTGAGAAAAGAAGTTATATTGAAAAACGCATACATATATATATATATATATAGGGGCCTATTCAAGGGAGAATTGAGTTGTTTGTGGTAACTGTGAGAACCAATATTAACCACAAATCAATAGATAAATTTGGTAATTTTAAATTAAAATCTTAATGCAAGGATATTTTTGGTATTTTAAAACTCTCCTCTCTTCTCTCTCCGGCCACCGTTCTCCGGCCTCCGGCCACCGTCCTCCGGTGATACCACTATGATACAACTGTGATACTTAAAAATATTGACTATGTTAAACAAAAGATACATTGTGATACCTAATCATATATAAGCTGCATAGTGATACCACTTTGTTACATCTTCGATCGACCACACAAACGACATCAATGTGATACCCAAGCACATATATGATGCATTGTGATACCATTGTAGTATCACTGGAGGACGGTGGCCGGAGAGAGAAGAGAGGAGGGATGAAAGTTTTAAAATACCAAAAATATCCTTGCATTAATATTTTAATTCAAAATTGCCAAAATTATAATTTTTCTAATTTATCTATTGATTTGTGGTTAATACTGGTTCTCACAGTTACCACAAACTAATTAGTTCTCATTTGATTCGGCCCATATATATATATATATATATATATATTTGCACACGCACGCACGCACGAAAGATCATGTGAGAAAAGAAGTTATGGTGATAAACGTAAAAAGAAATCTGAACTTTTGATCACTTTTAATATCATGTTCACCCATTAATTTCCCTTTAAAAAAGAATTGATCGGTGCATCTCAATGCACCTTATTAGTGTTAATATTCAATTAAGACTGATCCAATGATGAAGATCTCTTCTTATGTTATTCACCATAACTTCATTTCTCACAGGAAGCTAACATTATAATATATATATATATATACACACACACACATACACACACCATAAATATATATATATATATATATATATATATATTGACTTGGGATCATGTGAGACCAGCCTGTTTTCGTGAGACCCTTAAAATCACATTTTTACACTTGAAACTTCACAGCAAAATGCTGTGAATGTGACTTTTTTTAACCTTCACAGTGTTTTTGCTGTGAAGGTTCGACTTTGTTCTAACCTTCACAATGTTTTTGCTGTGAAGTTTACGCGTAAAAATGTGGTCTCACGGGTCTCACAAAAACAGGCTGGTCTCACGTGAACCCAACCCTATATATATTGTTTATTCATTTGATAACTCATTTGTGATATTCGTGAGAGCTTCTACCTTAAGATTTTGTTTCATACTATATTTTTATACCAATATATAGTATTTAATGTATTTAATTAACATATATTTGATTCATATGTATTTGGTTCACAACATGAAACTTTTTTACGTGTACTTTTTGTTTCACAAACACGTAAGAAATGGTCATTGTGAATCGAGTACATATGAAACGAATATATTGTGAAACAAATATGTTTTAGTCAACATTCTAAATCCTAGTCTTAGATGGGAAAAAATATTATGAAATAACACACATAATGCAAAAGTTCTTCAAGATTATCACAATTTCATGGGTTCTCAAAAAAATATCCCCCTATATATATAGGAATCTAGAGAAAGAGAGT